ACACACACACACACACACACACACACACACACACACACACACACTCACACACAAACACACACACACACACACACTCACGTTTGTGTGTGGGGGTGAGTGCAGGTGTGGGTGTGTGTACATAGTGCCTGAAATTAGATGTTTGTATTCTAAATAGAGACGTGACTGAAGACATGTTCTGAACATCCCTAAATTGCATATCGTATCTTATAGTGTCATGTTGTTCAAGCAATAATCTGATATATTCCTTTTAGAAAGACATATTCATGATAAATATATATACCTTCAGCAATTGTACATTTGTCTGTTTGATTTTTGCTGTGGTTCCACATGTCTGCATGCATTTGGCATTAATTTGGTTTCACAGTGCGAGTTCATATTCATGCAATTCCTTTTCAGATTTAACGTGTAACTATTGAAATTTTGATCAAATTCACTGCATCCCCTTCACTAGATTCCCTCTAGTCTGCAATCACTATTTCATCCTTTGATCATGTACCTGCTCTATTTTTGGTTATCTGTGTTCATGCAAAGCACCTGAGTGTGCATGGGTATGAGAACAACTAGCCCATGGGCAAAATACCAGTACTAGAATACAAGAGAAAATCTACCTTTCAAACTTGTCATCTTACTAAAAAATATAAGCCACTCATACATTTTTCACTTCACCATTCATCCACAGGATACACTAGATATTCCCTGGGTTTTAGAGTGAAAGAATTATGCATGCATATGCAGCTGATACATTTTCAAGAGTACAGGAATGCTTAAATAGCCATCACATTTTAGTGGCATGCAAAGGTGCACACCAAAGTCAGATTGACATAGAATTTCTCCCAGGTATATGTGGTGATATATTATGTAACCTAAAGAATGTGCTGCTTGAAGATCAGAACACAGGACAAGCCACTAGATTCAAGGTAGATGTCACGGAGTAGTGGCACACACCTGAAATCCTACCACATGAGAAGCAGAGATCTGTGTGTATATCATCTCCTCCAAAGACACACTGAACTACATGGGACTGACTCGGTGTAAGGGTGAAACAAAGCCAGGCATTATTGGAATACACCTTTAATTCTAGTACTTGGTGGTCATTTTCCTTTAACACCTGCACTTGAGATCTCACAACTTTAATCCCAAGATTTGGGAAGCACATATGCCATTAATCCCAGCACTAGGAAAGTAGTGATGGCTGGTCACACTAAGGTATATAAGACCCGAGGAAACAGGAACTAGAGGCTTTTCACCTGGATAGCTTTTGGCTAAGGACTCAGAATCATTTATTCAGAGGATTAATGGATTTGGCAAAGTGAGACTTGGCAGTATCTTGTTCTTTTGTTTCTCCCATGTTGAGAATTTACTCCAATATCAGATTCCAAGTTTTCATTTTTAATTAAAAAGTCCATCTACTATTTGTACACAGTCATGAAATTCCCAGAATATGTTAAGCAAACTGTCCTGTAAAACTCAGGTGTTTACTCTCACTATCCACTCACTATGCCTTTGTCCTAGAATTGGATGGTAATAAAAACGCCATATTTTCATTTGTATATTGTAATAATATTTCCAAGTTCTTCATAATTCTGAACAGGTAGCTTGATGATATATCCATCTACATTGGGGTGTAGACTATATTCAGGATAATACAGAATACCTTGATGGATATTCCTCAGAAAATACAGACATGCTGTGATTATGCAAGTAATAACTTCATAAAATTCCTATCTCTGATGCTATCCTTTTTTTCCACCACTTTCAAGCGTGGTTGTCTGCTTCCTATATAGAAACATAGTATCTCCACACCTCTTTGTAATCCCACACACATGTATCAAGAGCTACACTGCGGGAAGGTCCTGCATTTCAAATATCAGAATACTGAAAAGTTATGTTCTCTCTTCTTCTTTTTAAAAATCATGTCATTATAACACTTCTTGGCATGATGAAGCTTCTATTGACGGATTACTAAGCCACTGATACAGCTTTAATTTCTTCTCAAATCCCTGGGCACCATTAATTAAAACTGCAGCTTACAGAACTGTAAAAAATGTCAGTAAAATTGATAAATTTACCTCCATCTCCAATTGTTAGAAACAAGTGTAGATGCTACAAAACACTTAGTAATCACCCCATGGTCTAATCAACTCTTATGCAGCCTTGCTGGTAAAACACGCTCAGATTTCACTAGCAAAACCCTGTGGGCTCCCATATATGTACCCTTTCAATGTTGCCATCAAATGTCTCTAATCAGAGGTGTTCCATCACACACTATTTGGGAAATAAAGCAAGAATGTGCAAGAGGGTTCTTTCTATATGCCTGTCAGGCTTAGCTGTACTGTGTGTGATGTTACTTGACTTCATCTCTCCCACCCAGAAAGCATCAATAGTCTATGTCAAAGAGAAGGTAGAAAAAAATCTAACAGATTTAGGAGTGGGAACAGTGAATGAATCTGTGGGAACAGTGCTATCTAGTATCCAATGTATGATAAGACATAGAATTCAGAGGCTGAGGTTACAGGGACAAGATCTGCACATTTACACAAAAAACAAACAAACAAATCATAATCAAGAACAAAGTCATCTGGTATGTGAATAACTTAAAAGGGAAATATGTAATACCATCCTCTCGGCACCAGTAAATAATTGATTTCCAGCAAAGTTCAGCCCTGCTTGATGACATAAAAAGGAACAGGATTTCTAAGACAGAAGAACAAAGGAACTACAGCTTGTATATGCCAAAATACAAGGAGAATTCAAATCAAGCTTGCAACGTTGAATCTGTGAGTATAAATGACAACAGAATGATAACAGTTTAATATCCTGCAATACATTATATTGTGAAAGTCTGCATTTTGTGACAGGTAGGGATTCAGCAGCAAATGTCACTGCATGATATATTCATAGAATCTAAAGTCTCTTGTGAAAACTGACAATGCCAGAGTAGTTCCCACTGTATCCTCCCAGGGTGAAGTAGCCTGACTTCACTAGCATCTGTCATATACAAAGGTCTCCAATTGACTACCATGCTAACATAACAGATGATACAGCATTTCAAGTCTGACACAGCAATAACAAATCTTAATAGAGAAGCACTTGCTTTAGAAGCAAGATGCTATTTCCTGCACAGGAGATAGAGCAGGTGACTAGAAGTTATAAGGCTGGATATGAAGTAATCCCTGCCTTTGTTTGGATTTCCACAGGCTCTGACTCCTGTACATGTCAGGAGCAGGCTGCATTGTCTATCCAATGTATAGTCGGGCTTTAGTCATACCCAGGATCCACTGTGTCCTGGAATATGGCCAGAGCCTGACTGGTAAGAGCTCACAATGCTGTCTCTTTTATAAGCACTCCTTTCTTCTGATTGAAGGACAGTGTGCATTCAAATTCATCATGGAATAAGAACCAATAAGGACAGTGATCTCAGTTTTAGCAATGGAGGCAAATCCTGAGGTTACCTTGGAGATGAACACAGGAGCTGCTGAATCATTCTTGTCTCCCTCTGAATACATGCAGCAGCAGAAGCAGCGAAACTGAAAAAGGATGAGCAGGAAAGAATGTAATTGATCCTGATTCCTCACTCCAATTATCAAAAAGGAAAAATACAACCAGTGGCAATTTGGGAGTGATCGTTTATCCCTCTGCTGGTGTCTACATCCTGACTATCTACATGAAAGCCTCCACTTCTTCCTAGAGATGGACGATTAGGATTCTCTGCTGCCAATTGCTTTTTGCTGCTGACAGTTTCTGATATGACATGTTAGCTTTCCCAACAAAACTGAAGAAATGCTTGAAATTCAGTTGTGACATGATATATATATATATATATATATATATATATATATATATATGTGTGTGTGTGTGTGTGTGTGTGTGTGTGTGTGTGTGTGTGTAGTGCCTGAAAATGGATGTTTGTATGTTTGTACTGTAAATAGAGATATGAATTTGAAGACGTGCTCTGAACATACTTAAATTGCATATCTTATCTTACAGTTTCATGTTGATTAAGGAATAATCTGATGTTTTCCTTTTAGAAAGATATATTCATGATACATATATTCCTTAGGCAATTGTACATTTGTCATTTTAATTTTTGCTGTGGTTCTACACATGTCTGCATGCATTTGGAATTAATTTTGGTTTCACGGTACCCCTTCACACTCTTAAAATTTCCTCTTCATTATTAACATGTAACTATTGAAATTTTGAACAAATTTATTGCATACCCTTCAGTAGAATCTCTCTAGTCTGCAATTACTACTCCATCCTTTGATCATGTACTTGCTCTATTTTTGGTTATCTGTATTCCTGTAAATCATCTGAGTATGCATGGGTTTGAGAATAACTACTAGCCCATGGGTAGAATACCAGGGAAAAAATAGTAGAGAAAATCTGTCTTTCCACTTTTGTCTGCTTACTAAAAAATATAAGCCACTCATACAGTTTTTTAATTCACCATTCTTCCACATGATACACTAGAATGTTCCCTGGGATTTATAGTGAAAGTATTATGCCTGAATATGCAGCTGATACAGTTTCCAGACTACAGGTATGCTGAAATGGCCATCACATATTAGTGGCATGCAGAGATGCACATCAAAGTCAGATAGAGATAGTGTTTCTCTCATGTATGTGTGGTCATATATTTTGTTCCCTAAAGAATGTGCCTGAAGACCAGAACACAGAACAAGCCACTAGAGTAAACATAGAGGCGAGGAAGTGGTGGCAAACATCTGAAATCCCATTACTTGGGAAGCAGTGATCTGTGTTTATCTCTGAGCCTTTAAAGCTTTGCAGGATTAGATGGGATTGATTCATTCTAAGGAAGAAACAAAGCCAGGCATTATTGGAATACACCTTTAATTCTAGTACTTGGTGGTCATTTGCCTTTAATACCTGCACTTGAGATCTTACACATTTAATCCCAGGATTTGGGAAGCACTTATGCCATTAATCCCAGCACTAGAAAAGAAGTGATGGCTGGTCACACTAAGGTATATAAGGCCAGAAGAAACAGGAACTAGAGGCTTTTCACCTGGATAGCTTTTGGCTAAGGACTCAGAGACATTCATTCAGAGGATTCATGGAGTTGGTAGAGTGAGACATGGCAGTGTCATTCTTTTGTTTATCCCATGTATCAGAATTTAAGCCAAAATCAGCTTCCGATATTTCATCTTTAATTAAAAAGTCCATCTACTATTTGTACACAGTTAGGAAATTCCCATAATATGTTAAACAAACTGTCCAGTAAAACTCAGGTATTTTACTCTATCCACTCACTATGCCTTTGTGCTAGAATTGGATGGCAATAAAACTGCCATATTTTAATTTGTATATTCTAATAATATTTCCAAGTTCTTCATAATTATGAACAGTTAGTTTGCTGATATATCCATCTACATTATGGTGTAGACTATGTTCAGGAAAGCATAAATTATTTTGATGGATATTCCTCAGAAAACACACACATTTTGTGATTACACAAGTAATAACTTCATAACATCACAAGTAATAACTTCATAACATCAAAATTCTGGGTTCCCATATATGTTACTGTTGGATCTGGGCATCAAATGTCTCTAACCAGGGTCTTCCATCATGGACTAGGTGGGAAATAAAGCAAGGATGTGCAGTTGGGGTCTCTCTATATGCCTGGCAGGTTTGGGTGTACTATTAGTGATGTTACTTGACCTCACCTCTCAAACCCAGAAAGCATCAATAGTGTATGTTGTAAAGAAGGCAGAAAAAATATAAGAGATTCAGAGGTGGTAGATGAATCCGTAGGAACAGTGTTATCTAAATTCCAATGTATTATAAGACAGAGGAGTTCATAGGTGGAGGTTACAAAGACAAGATCTGCACACTTATAAAACAAACCAAAAAAAAGGAAACAAACAAACAAATTATAACCAAGATACAAGAAAACTGGAGTATGAATTATTTAGAATGTAAATATAAAATACCATCCACTCAGCACCAGTAAATAATTGATTTGCAACAAATCTCATGTCTGGCCTCATGAA